TTTGGAACGAGGGGGACGGTCGCTGCAATTTCTTCCCCGCGGAGAAAAACACAGATTTTTCTCGCCCGATTGTTTCGAGGAGAGCTAAGATTCCCTCCGTCTCCTCCTCAACACCTCGCGCAATTCTCATTCACGAGGGATCGAAGGGATCGTTGACTTCGCCTCTTCCGTGATTCCACTTACGCCACGCGTTCGATAATAATCGGCCCTAATTATCCGCTCCTCCTCTTCTCCACTCCACTCCTCCCTTCCTCTTCGAGCGTTTCGCTCTCGAACGATAGCTCCTGCTGCTCGATTCCTTCGAGGCCCTTGGAATCCTGGTGGATGGTCACGCGATCCATCCCGAAGAAACTCGATTCGAGAAACATCGCGGTGTTTCCTCTGTTTTGTTGATCGTTTTACCTTCTTTCGAGTCGCCTTTTTTTTTAATCGCTTTAATCAGCACGCGTCGATCGGTCGTCTTCGATCGATAATTTGTAAAAGGCCCCGATCGCGATCTCTTATTTATTCCCCGATTTCTTTAATTGGCCGAAACGGTCGTCACTTTTATCTCTCTGTCCACGGAGATCCTGTTGGACGATCCTGGTCGTTTTTATCGTCGAAGGAAAGGAAAAAAGAAAGGAAAACGTTTTTAATTTATACCGAAACGTTTCGAATCTCGAGTCGAGAAACGGATGTAGAGACGCTGATATATAAAATGATTATTTATCGAGCGATCGAATTTACTCGAAATTTCGATTCGAGGCGTTGCTGCGAACGAACTTCGAGAACGAACTTTACTCCTCGCCTTGTGTTGCCTCAACGACGTAGGTCGAACGTCGACCCTTTGTCAAAGAAACGGAAGAAAGGGAAGGGAAGAAGGGGGATAATCGAGTTTCCCCGGGAATATGGGAAAATTTGTTGCTTTCCACGCGAGAAACTCACGCGGGCTGGAAACATTTCTCGATCCTTTTCCACGGTGCGCTTCACGTACCTGCATCCTCTTACGAGGATGCGCGCGATATAAAAATCCCAGAAAACTTTTATTCTTCTCCTCCCTTCTTCCATCTGCCTGCCAATTTCAACGATCCTTCTTTTCTTCAAGAACCTACACTCGACCTAATTTTTGTACCCGCTTTTCATACTGATAATAACAATTTGGAGGAAAGAATTAATCTCGATCGACTTCGAAACGTGTCGAGAAGAGTTCGAGCAACCGATCTCCAAACCGATCCTTTCCTCGAGCTTTTTCCCAAGGATCACAGACGTCTGTAAAATTTAATAGTCGAAGTTACGTTGCTTCCGTAATCGTGGCAAACGATTATTATTTACCAACACAGCTACCAATTATAACAGCTATAAACGTTGTTCAAGCATTTTAACAAGCGATCCTTCGAGTAACTTTTATTTTTAACCGGTTTTAATTGCCCAGTCACTTTTTCAACGGGTTAATGGCCAGCAACCATTGGGAGGAGGGGGAAAGATCGGGATAACAGTTTCCAAACTCCATTTAAGTAAGATTCGTTAAAATTTGTATAATTAATCATCGAAAAGCGGCGGGGAACACGAGAAAAAAAAATAAGGGATCCCTTTTTTGAGATATGAATTTTATATGCTAATAAGTATCTTACAACCGTTTCGATCCTCAGAATTCAGGCTGGCAATTTCTGGAGGCAATGGTTGGCAATGATGGAAAGGGGATCGAATTCATCCCTTATCTATAAATTTCGTTTCATTTTTCGGGCCGAGAAACGTTCTCTTCCTCTTCCGGAGGAAGAATAGTAGAATAATCTCTTTTTTCCTGGATGGAACGCCGATAATCTATAACGCCTCTTCTCGGGCAGGATTTGTTCCTCGTGATCATCTTCGTAATGGGGAGGGGGGAGTGTCGTAAATTGACGGAAGAGGGTTTATTCTTCCCGGGCAACGATCATCTTCTCCGATTCTTTTTTCGAACGAGCAGAATCTTTTAAGTGGATCTTATGAAAGTTTTATCCGGGTTTATAGTTTGCTCTTCTTTCGAGATCAAGTCATTTCTATCCACATTTTTCTTTTTTCATTTCTCGGCCATTTCGTTATACCGTCTCGATTATCAAAGATCGTTGGCAAGTTGTCGTTTCAGACGATGGGCAAAATTTAATAGTTGAAGTTATGAATAAAGTTTTAATTCAATGTTCGAAATAATCGTAGGTTGCCAAACGAAAAATTATGCGAAAAGCGGATCAATTATAATAGCTACGAATAAATTCAAACATTTTAATAAGTAACTTTATTCGAAATTTTTAATTACTTTTTCAACCTTAATACCTAATCCTTTAAAGTATAGACAGTGATTTAATAGTGAAGTTAGGAATAAAATTATTGTGATGATTTATTGTTCGAAACAATAATAATCGTGGGTTGTCAAAGGGATCAATTATAGTAGCTACGAATAAATTCGAGCATTTTAAATAAGTAATTGCTTAAAGTAACTTTATTCGAAATTTTTAGTTATTATTTCAACCTTGGGTTAATTTTGTCGTGGATGGGCAAAATTTAATTAGTTGAAATTACGAATAAAATTACTTCGATAATTTATTGTTCGAAACATAATGATAATTTATTGCTCGAAACATAATGATAATAGGTTGCCAAAAATAAAATTACTTCAATTTATTGTTCGAAACAATATTAATCGTAGATTGCCAAATGAATCGATTATAATAGCTGTGAATAAATTCAAATTCATTAATAAATAATTACTAATTAACTTAAAGTAACTTTGTTCGAAACTTTTGACAAGTTACTTCTTCAATTTTGGGTTAATGTTTAATTCTGCCATGAGACGTAGATAGAATTTAAATATTTTAATAAATAATTACTTAAAATAACTTTATTCGAAATTTTTAATTACTTTTTCAATCTTGGGTTAATTCTGTCGTGAATGGGCAAAATTTAATTAGTTGAAATTACGAATAAAATTACTTCGATAATTTATTGCTCGAAACATAATGATAATAGGTTGCCAAAATAAAATTACTTCAATTTATTGTTCGAAACAATATTAATCGTAGATTGCCAAACGGATCTATTATAATAGCTGCGAATAAATTCGAATTCATTAATAAATAATTACTAATTAACTTAACTAACTAATAATTATTAATAACTAATTCTGCCATGAGACATAGAAAGTGATAGGAAAAATTTAATAGTTGAAGTTGTGAATAAGATTATTTCGATAATTTATTGTTCGAAACAACAATAATCCTAGATTGCCAAACGGATCGATTATATAGCGAATAAATTGAAATTCATAAATTAATAAATAATTACTAATTAACTTTTTCTTCGAAATTTTTGACTGGTTACTTTTTCAATCTCAGTTTGTAACGCCGAATTCTGCCGTGGGACGTAGGTAACCCAACTACACGGTTCACCCTTCGCGGAGACCTTTAAATCGTTGACTAACCTAACCCAATCCATCCGCAACCTCTCCTCGTCCTGGAGAGACCATAGAAGCGAGAGACATTTAAATCTGGCTATCCCTGTGGGAACGTCCGGCGTCCACATCCTGGGGGGGTTGTCCTCCGGAGGAAAAAAACAATGAACTCGTTTGTGTGTGACTGGTCCAGACGTTCCGTTCCGATGGGATGAAAAGAGAGAGGAGGAAGAAGAAGAAAAAGGAAGAGAGCACGTTAAAAAGAAAAGAAAAGAAAAGAAAAGGAAAGGAAAGGAAAAAGGGAGCACGGTCTACGAGAAAAAAAAAAAACTCGCGAGATGGACGTGATCCGGTTTCCTATATCGACTCCTATAAATTATAATTTCCTTTTCAATTTATGCGAGACGAGATTTATTAAACTCGTTCCTCGCTCTGTGTGAACTTTTATGGAGAGAGAAAAAACAGAGAGAGAGAGAAGATTTATCTCTGATCGATCTTCGATGTTCCTCGAATTTCACCGCTTCTTTCGCGCGAGGATATTCCCTTCATCCGTTCAACCGCTATTTTATCAAAACTGGCATGTTGATGAAGATACACACTCTCACGGAAAACACCATTTCCACCTAAATACGCGCAAATTCTGTTTTCCAGAGTACCCAGACACAATGTTGTTACATAATTCATAACCCTCTCCTCCAGAGAAACTAATAGTTCCCCAAAACTTGTTTAATCTCCTTTAATCCGACCGTATTACACACGTATCTTCCCTCTTCTTAATTCAACGCGTTCCCCATATATCCGTTTCCCGGCTATATTTTCTTCAAATATCCTCTCCGTCTTCGTAATTGAGACAAATCGTGGGAGAAAAAAATCTCTCTCCCCCTTTAACTTTAAACCTTGCAACGATATCCGACCACTCTTTTAAAAAAAAAAAGGAATCTCCTCCCCTCATCCATCCAAAGCAGTTACGATCCAATTTCGTATCCCCGGTTTAATCGTTCGATCGAAGACCACGGTATCCACGGCGTGGTTCCCACAAGACGAACTGACCCTCTACCACCACCACCACCACCACCACCACCATCACC